ATTTACTTGCTCTCAGAGTTGTTGTATTTGCTCTCAGAGTTGTGTCAATGTAACACCTCACTTGCCATATATACTGTTAGTCAGTATTTATGTGCTGTTTGTCACCTCTGGGAGACGGATTAAGGCTGTTGCTTTGCTGTACTGTGTAACACTGGCTTATGATATAATAAAATTATTGGTCATGAGATCAGTCTCGTATTTGTACTCAGCATTGCCATCACCCCTGTACTTCAGGAGCCATCTATCAGAAATTATTAATAATTACACTTTTTACTTTTTCTCCTCAGAGAGCCAACCTATGGGGGATACACCTTCCTCCACCTTTCCTTCTTCTCCAGGCTAATTACAACAGCTCTTGAGAATTTTGAATATCCTTGGGATGTTCCTATTGCTACATCTCCTGAACGTGTGTCAGGTCTTGCTTAGGGTTAAACAACTATTTAAGAATACCGCAGCTACTCCAACCCTGGCGACAGGCACTGCAGCTACTCCAGCTCCCCCCAGTATTTCTCTATATTTAGATCATTTCCCAAAATTATCTAAAACTGCCACAGACTGACCGGTTTTGTGGTGATAAAAGCATCATATGAAACCTGTGAATCGGATGTGATACTGAGGATGTCCAGGCTTATGGAAACGGGGAAAAATGCAAAATTATCAGCAACATAATGATTGCGGTGTGTTCCAACACACCATGACCAGGTGCTCTTGTGGATTTTGTTGGTTCCCATCACAGATCTCGGGGCACCCTGTGGGCACACGGAGCCGAGGTGTATGAGAAAGCTGCCAGGCGTGCAGCTCCGGTGGCACTCCAGCTCAGGCTTCACTGACGCAGACTGGCAAGGACCTACCCAGGCAGCCCGCGAGCCTGCCCAAATACAAGCCTGCATGAACGCCAGGTTGCAAACAGATTCAGGGACAGGCTTCTTCCAGCCTGTCTTCCCTCACCCTTCCTTCGGGAGACCCAGACCCGCTAGCTGAATTGCAAACAGCACTCAAGAAGCACAAGGCCAAGCACTTCTGACTCCAGCAGAAGAAAATAGCAGAGCAAACAGAGAAAGCCCATGGATAACCTCAGAAAGATGCTACTGGACCGGGATACTAAGCAACACGTCCATAGGACCCCCTATTGCCCTGGCAGGGTGACAGAGCCACACAGCTTCTTTAATCTACCAGACTCATCCCTAACACGCCATCCACTGCCCGTGAGCACACTCATTGCATTCCAGTCAGCTGTTCTGATTTATTGTTGCTCCTCATGGCTGCTGGGCTTGGTTCAGGCTCAAGCTTAAAATTACGGTGATGCAAAACTACATCCAATTTCCCATCCTTTGTTTAACTCCCCGTCTTAAAGCAACTCTACGGTACGGTGAATCCCACCTGTTTCACCTCCTTCCCTGACAAAGCAGTTTCCAGTGAGAGAGCAGGTCTGCAGCAGCAGCACAGACTCATCGATGAACTGTGGGCAAGAGGGACTCCTCTCCCGTCAGGCTCACACTGCCGTAGCCAGGGGGGTGTGAGTTGCCAGCTCCTGCCCACCAGAGACCAGGACAGACTGCAGCAGGGACAGATTCAGGACTGCCAGAGATAAAGGCAGCACGCACCCCGTGGCAACCTCCCCCTGGCACAACCCAGCCTGCCAGGCACGTCCCCTGTCGCCTGGCTTGCACCCCAAACGGTGGGAAGGGCTGAGGGCAGTGCCAGAACCGAGCTGGGAAAACTTTGAGCAAGTCAAATCCACGGGCAAGTAGCGGCGAGCGCGAGGGGTACTCTCCTCCATCCTGAGCAGACTGAAAAAAAAAAAATAAAAATTAAAAATACTGGGACAGGGTGTCACTTGGGTGACAGAGCTGGAAGCGCAGCCTCCAACGCACAAATAGGCTGAAGTGAGATCAGAAAAATGGCTTTTTTTGTTGGTTTTTTTTTTAAACGCAGAGGCTCCAGCCCTTTCGGTACTGGGAGCTGTGGGACCGTACGCCTAGCAGGCGCAGAGGCCGCTGCCAGCAGAGGTCAGCTCCGGTGCGCCGCCGCGCACATGCAGAAACACCCACGGGCCTGGTCAAGCTCCGTTGGCCCCGGGGACAAGGTCCCTGCAGCGGGGACGCCGGGAGCGTGGTCCAGGCAGGTAGGCAGCAGCCAGACGGCTCCCCAAAGGACGCGTGGGACAAGGTACGTGGGGTTTCACGTTCGCACGTAGCAGGCAGACACGCAGATTTTTTTTTCTTACGCAGCCTCACGGAAGAGGGAGCTGGCGGCTGAGCCGTCCCAGTGCTCCAGCGCCGAGCCTGGCGCTTCCCGGGACGGCTCAAGGGCAGGTCTGGGTTTCTCCAATCTTGTGTACTCAGCACGCTGCTTTGAGGCTTTTCTCCCTCCCAGGACAATAAGACAGCTTGAATTAAAGGCCTGAATATCAGAAAAGCAGGAATTCAGGACATATTTGCATTTGTTTAAATGTCTTAGAGTATTAAAAATAGTTCAGGAAGGCAGCCAGCCTCTTCAAGGGAAAAATCTGCTTTATTTTCCACAAACCACACTTCTTTTTTATTAGTATCCTGCGACAAATCTTGCTAACACAGGAATTACAAGATTAGGGGTGAACGTAAAGCCGAGCCCTGGGGGAAGGAGGACGGAGGCGGGGTGGGTCCCGGAGCCTCCGTGGGCTGGGCAGCAGCGGCAGCACCCAGCATGGGGGGGAACAGGCCAGGGCCAGAAACTCCCTTAAACACTAACACATAGCCGTGGGATATTCCAGCAGTAACTTCTCATAAAATATTGGGGACAGACAGGTGAAAGAAAAAGATTTTATGTTTAAAAAAATATATCTCATAAAACCTGCACTTTGAGCTGTTACAAGTGCCCTAAATTTTCACTGTCCATATCATTGCAATGAGGATAAGACAGTGCCTAAATATTCACGCAAGCCCTGTTTGTTTTTTTTTTTTAAACTAACATGGAAATGTGCCTATTTATGTAAAAGTGCATTGCTACACCTCTTTTGCTGAGCACAGCACTCTGCAAGAGCTGTGCCCACAGTGCAGGGAGCCATGCCCCAGGCTGCCTGTGCAGGTACAACATCTTGGCCAACCTACTGAAACCGCTCCTCGCTGCACCCAACACCTTCATCAACCACCCACTGAAGGGGTGCCAGCGCCTAATGAGCCCCATCCCTTCCCAGAGCAGCTCAGCCTCCAGGATGCCTCTGCTGGAGACCGGCAAGTACTTGCAGGGCTCAGTCCTCGGCAGCGTGAATCACGACCTCGCCAGCGAGAGGCAAACAGCCTCCTTCAGCGTGGAAAAGCTCACAGCCTGGCTGGACGGCGGTGCGGAGCACACTCGGATACGGAGGGCAGTGGGTGAGTGAACCTTCCAAGGCCCCCGGCTGGTACCGAGCATGCCTGTGTCCCCGCTGTTTCTGCTCCTCCTTTGCACGGCGGGTTTTGCGCTCCCAGGTATTTGCTTATCACCCATCTCTTAAAAAAGTGGGAATGCGGAGTTGGAGTCCCTGCTAGTGTAAATCAACACAACTCCTCCGCAGCCACTCCCGCTGTCTGAAGCTTTTCCCCTTCCCTGCTCCCATCCCCAGTATTGCTGGCAAGACTGGTTAAACTGGAATACAAGGACCAAGGCTCACAGGGGTGGGCATCTCTGCACGAGGGGGATGTGCACAGGGGCTAGCGCTGCTGTGCAGTGATGCATGCCATGCGCGAACCGCAGCCAGCGACCCCCTCGGCACCTCAGGCTCATCCAGGTGGGGAATTCCTTGTGTGGGTTGGCTCGGCCAGGCTGAGCTGCTCTCACTCGTGATGGGTGTGCCAAAAAATGACCGTGTGCTCAGAAGGAACAGAGGAAAAAAAAAAACAAACAAGCTTTTTTGTGCCTGTAACTACACCCATATGATACCCTTATCAAATGAAAACGGCACAGGCCCCTGGGATCGCACGCTTCATGGTGCTACTGGAGTTCAGGAAAACCTTAAACATGAATGGACTCACAGGTTTCAAGGCAAAAAGGGAGCAGCGGGAGCGTTCAGGCTGGCACAAAGAGCAAACCGATGGAGTCGCTTCGCAATGCTGCAAAGGGCTGGTAAAGTCCTGAGCTGAAGCGCTGGTGCCAAGCGGGACGCCCGGCAGCTCCGGCCATTAGCCACCCTCCAGGCAACACCCAGCTAACCACAGCTCGTGCTGCCATCACAGCACGGGAACAGCAACTAGAGACAGGGGGATCCATGGCATTTTCTGACCAGGGCCGGTGCCTTACCCTGCAGTGTCACTATTTCCATCAACAGACCCCTCTCCTGCCCCAAACCCACCGCTTTTCAGAGTTAGGCGTGACAGCCACCAGAGCCAGCACTGGCAAAACAAAACCTGCCTGCAATCACCCTAAAAAGTCACGGCATCGGTACCCACAACCCCAGCCCTGCCCGCTCCTCTCGAGCGGGGCTCAAGGCACCGCCCGCACCTCCCCAGCCCCAGGAGAACCAACTCTTCTGTGTTGCTTTGCAGTCGAAGCTATCGAATGTGACCCTGTATTTAGCAGAGAAAATCAGTATTTCCAGAGCCAGAATGAGAGGTACGAAGCAGCAGTCAGAAAGGCTGTTCATCTCCAGAAAAAGATGCACGAGATGGGATGGACTGAGAATGGACCTGAATTTAAGTACATTTACAGGTGATTTTTTTTTTTTTTAATGTACAACTAATTTTTTGTTAAAAGTTTTGTATGCCCACAAGAATCGGCTTTAGCAAAGGCTAGGAGAGGCCAACAGTTGACAGATAAGGTTTTGATACAAACGTGCTGCAGGTTTTTACTTTAGCAGCACGCTCAGGAAAAAGGAAAACGATGATACACGGCAGGGAGCTTCTCAAAGAGCAGCACATGGGTACAGCGTGATAGAGCACAGCAGTTCACAGCCCCACCGTCATACTTCCACCACAGCAAGCTCCTTACTTGTGCTACAGCTCTCATACCACCCCTCGGACATTTTTAAATGTATAACCAGAAGTGGTGCTGTTTCAGTTATGTTATTGACTTCCAGATAAATTAAAAATGACATTTTCTCTATCTAGAAAGCCCATATTGTATTAAAAAAAAAAAAAAATCTTAGTTTGTAGGTAAATGGAATAAAATATTTTTCACAATGCTTTCCTTAAAAAAAGTTTCTGAATGCTTTGCATGGGGCTGAGCTCCAGATTTTAATTTTAATTGCTTGCCCCAACTTCTTTCCCCCTTTGCTAAAGAAAAGTACCAGTTTGCTGTTGCCCGGCACACACCCTTTGCTTGGTGGGGCTGCATAACCAGTGAGAAGGTGCAAGTTCAAATGCGTCATTCAAAAGGGCAATGCCTGCACCTTATAAATCACCGCTGACACTCAAAGTCATTTCCCATTATTTCATCATATGAAAGATTATGATTTTTTACACTAAGCTCTTCGCCGCCTATGGGGAGTGGGACTGATAAAGGGGAAAATCTTCCATCAAGAGCTCTTGGACCTGACCATTATATTCCCGACAAAAAGGAGCTCTCCACTCTTCCCTCAGAAGAAAAAAAGTAATCCCAGCAGATTTTAAAAACCTGACAAAATTCAACCGCCTCTCCCACCTAGGTTTGCTTTTATCAGGCCCCCGTCGCCAAGGGCTTCAGCAGCCCTGTGCCACCACGTTGTGCTGGATAAGAGCACAGCCCGCCCGGCAGGACAGCTCTTTTCTGAGGAAACACCAGGTGAGCACCAGGCTCGTACTGACAAAGTCCTGGTGCCTCCTGGTGCCAGACACAGTGAATCACTTGCACACACATTTAAAAGCCAGCTTTTTTAAATCGCAGTTAAAGTAACATTATTTCTGGATGGGCTGCCAAGGCTTCACTAGGTCTTTTTCAGTTAATTAAAGCAATTTCCCTTTAACTTCATTGTTCATATTTTTCCTCCCACTTTTTCAGCATGACTGATTCTCTCTCAGGGCCGGTATAAAAGAAAGGGTGCAGTCATTTGTTAAAAATAAAAGGTATCTGTCTGGAATGAGATGCTCACTAGAGCACTGCAGTAAAGCAACGTGCTAACAGCCATACAAAGCTACCGAGAACAGCACAGCCACTTATTTTGAGGTGTGAGAGGACATGTACTTGTATCTGTGAGGTGATTCAATCATATTCTGAGGAATCCCAGGAAGAGGGACTATATTCCTTGTATTTTCTTAGGATTTCTCACCAAAAAAAAAATTTAAAAAAAAAATTAAAAAAAAAAAGTTTGATTTGCACCATGGAAATTACTGTACCCAAGTTCCCATACACAGCTTCTGGACTAGTGCTTTTTAGGATGTATGCAGCCCTATCAGCTGGCGATGGTGAAGGACCTGACCTGGTAATGAACCAGGTCTTACAAGGATGTATTTGAATTTTTCGACAAGAAAAAAAAAAAACATCTCAAGTCAGGCCAAATCTCCATGAACTCCAGTATTGTTCACTGACAGCAAACACCCAGGGAACAGTACAGCAACAAACCCAAGGTACCGAGGTATTTCCCCAGAATGAGAACGGGAAGGTTCAGGAGATCCAGGTCTCAGATGCCTACATATGTAATTCAGTCTAATGTGCCCCACAGTGATCTGCCAAGGTTTGGAGGTTTTAGGGTAGGGTGGTGGGGTTTTTTTTTAGCCCAGCCTTAAAATGTGACTTAAATAACCAGGAAAAAAATCCTATGAAGTAAAATAAAGATACAAAGGGCTCACAAGCTATCAGAGCCACAGGAGCTTTGGAGCTGGGCTGTGTTTTTAGGAGCTCAGCATCTGCTACTCAGAACAGATAATTCCTCCAAGAGCAAATGAAATAATGAGCTAGCAACACTTAAGCAAACTATGTTAGGAAAGAAGGAATAAAAGCAGCTTGGAAGAGCGCTTTTCCTGCAATACTGTGTTGATGCTGGACGTTGGGTAAGGTATGACAACGCAGAAATCGAGCGGCAGCAGATGATACTGTCTGGTGACCGCTGCAGTGTCACTGCCTCATTCATCACATCCCTGCAACTTCATCCATGTCAAAATACCCCTTGTGCCTTCTCCGCAGGGCACTGTCAGGAGACGTCGCGTTTCTCCTTCACCGCATCTTCATGAGAAGTATTTCAGTGCTGGGCTCCGACAAACAGATCGCCAAATGGATTCCTCTCGCCAGCCAGTATCAGCTCATTGGAAGCTATGCCCAGACTGAACTGGGGCACGGTAAGGCTGCAAAGAAAATGCAGCATTTCTGTAGGACGAGAGATTCCCAGATTCTCAGGGGAATTTGAGTTCAAGCCATCTGTCCTTCACTGGAGCAGGGGTGGCTGGGGGGGGAAATGCCACCTGCATGTTAGAGGTTGATGTCCTCAGCATTCCTCTGCAAGCTGGAGATGCACTGGCTTTGGTTTTGCCAATGTGGAAAAAATAACAAGGGTGAGGGTGAAATCTCACGGTTAGCTAGCAGGCAGTCACCGTCGGTGGAGGGGATCAGCCAGGCAGCTTGCCCAAGCTGACGGTTGTCACCACGACCCAGGCAGCTTGCCCAAGTACCATGTGGCTCAAGAGATCTTTGCAGGAGATGGTGTGGGGTCGCTGGGAGCATCGTCCCACAGTTCTCGTCAGGAGGGTAAACCACAAAACCCTGGTAATACCCACACCAGCCTCCGGGTATCCTCCACTCTCTCCATCCTTGTGATACACCAGGAGATGTTTTTTGTTGTTGGTTTTTTTGTTTTTGTTTTTTTTTAAAGGAACTTATCTTCAGGGTTTGGAAACAACAGCAGTCTTTGATAACGCTACTCAGGAGTTTATACTGAACACACCAAAGATCTCTGCCATGAAGTGGTGGCCTGGAGACAGTAAGTACCACATGCTATTTTGGCTTTTCTCCTTTGCCTCCTTCAGTTACTTGGTCTGCCCTGCTGAAGCTCCATGTTTGAGGGCCCAGGTGCTATCAGAGGACTTTAGTAAGAGATGCACACATCGAGAGGCAAGTAAGAGACCAAAGGGTTTTGTACAAGTTCAAAGGCCAGAAGGGAGCCATCATCATCTGTCAAAAGCCCTTGGGTGGCAGGGCTGGAGAACTTCGCTCAGGGAAACTCCTGCCTCTGCAGGAATCCACCTCCTCCTCTTTGTAAATAATACTCAGACCAAAAACTGCAGGGAGGACATCAGCATAAAGGATCAGCATAAAGAATTCAAGTCATCAACCAGTCTCAGCATAAAGGATTCAAGTGTGAAATTCATGGCTCCCTTCAGGAAGGTATTTCACAGAAAACAGCCGGAGTTACTCTAACAGCCACAGCACTTCCTACTCTCTCTGCACTGCATGAACTTTACTTATTTTTTCTCATCTGCCGATGCAGACTGTTCATCCAAGCCTCACGGGCAGCGACAGAGGCAGAAGGATGATGCAACCTCCAAGAGCAGGCTTAGAACACAGATTTAGGCAATCTCCAGCTTCCAGCATCTGTGGATCACCCCTACCCTGACCCATATGTTAGCGAGACCTAACGCACAATTAGCACTGGCTGCTGGTAACTGTGGAAGTGTTTGTGCTGTACCTTGTCTTAAGGGAATGGGACTGTTTTTCCTCTCGCAGTGGGAAGGTCAGCGACCCACACGGTGGTCTTTGCTCAGCTGTACGTCCACGGGAAGTGCTACGGCGTGCATCCCTTCATCGTGCAGATACGCAGCCTTCAGGACCATTCACTCTGCCCAGGTAAACGACCCCAGACATCGCAGCACTTGTGCAGGTGCTCTGCCTATTTTGCCCTTAAATGCTTTCTAAAACATTGGGCCCAGGGAGAGAGAGTTATAATTGCCAAAACCAAACCAAGACAGACACCCAAGGCATAGTTATCATTACCGCCAACCTTTTTATCTAAAGGAGGATTTAATGTATCCTCAGGCATATCCAGACCAAGCTGCCTTCTTAACCAGAAGCCTGGGCTGCTCTGACCACCTCTGCATTAACACCTCAGTTCTAACCCCGGCCAACACGGGTAACAGATGGATCATGGAAACAAACTACCACGAGGCATTTGAATGCCTGTTTCATCCCTCAGGCAAGATCACCCATGCTGGGGAAGAAGCAGAGCTGAACGTGCCTTTCCTTTGAGATCCCCAGCCTGACACAAAATGGGGAGAAAAAAGTTCAAGTGGAAGTAAGCAGGCCATGTTTTCTACCGCTGCAGGCATAATTGCAGGAGACATCGGTCCCAAAATGAGTTTTGAGCACATTGACAACGGCTACCTCATGCTGCAGAATGTGCGCGTCCCCAGGGAGAACATGCTGAACAAGTTTTGTGAGGTATGTATGGGCTCACATCGCAGACTCGCCCGTCAGACTCTCAGCACACAGCCAGAGAGACGACAGGGACCTGCCTAAATTGAGGACAAAAAAAATCTTCCTTTGAGGTGTTTGCAAGTCTCTGCGGTTTTATCAAGGGCAGAAATTACCTGAATCCTAAATGAAACTCGGTGTCAGGAATTCCACGTTCAGAGGTTGGGAATCACAGGGCAGGCAGAACCTATCTGAGCCAGAAGATGTAAGAGTTTGTCTCTTCAAATGGCTATGTTTCATCCATCATACATAAAAATATTTAGTTTTGCATTCAGTGAAGGATTTTGATGTCCATTTTATTCTACGCATAGAGATTACACAGCCATCCTACTACTGAAGCATTGAAGAAGGTGGCATCTAACATCCTCTCTCTACTCTAGGTTCAACCAGATGGCACCTACGTAAGACTGGGATCGCAGCAGATTAATTATTTCACAATGACTACAGTGCGCATTTCCCTCATTTCCGACGAAGCTGTAATACCTCTAATGAAAGCGTGCACCATTGCCATCCGATACTCTGTGGTTCGCCGGCAGTCCAAGTTAAAGCCTGGGTAATGCCACGCCAGCCCGCAGCGGCGGAAAGGGGACCATACACCATGTTCTCCCACACCAGTCTGTATTTCTACTTTTCATCTTATCTTTCAGCACATCGCTGGCTTGTTTCCTGGCCCAGACAGGGTATTACAAACATGCTTCCCTGTTATTTACATTAACAAGCTTCAGTCAAAGTACAAGAGAATGTTTACAGTTCTTTCGAAGATAAGTTTCATAGTTTGAATAGCTCAGCGGTTCACACAGGCAACTTATTTTTCTTATAACTGGCTTTCCCGTGTAATTCCATAACTCGGCAGAAACCAGACAAAGCGGACAAGTTGCTGAATTCTTATCCCATAGCATCCTACTAGCGGGCGCGACATTAAAGTACCTTCCAACATCCACAATTCCAATATCCACGCTTTACAACACTGAATTTTATTAGTCTGGTAAGAATCCCTGTAATTTTTAAATAGATATTTTCATTTGAATGGATTTCAAAATTTTCCACTTAAATCTCCTTTCAAAAGCAAGAAGATCCTAATGAGAACGTGGTTTGGTTCAAACGCAAACCAAACACAAGAGCACAGCACACTGAACTATTGTAATAACCAGTTCCATCATTTGAAGTCCTAAATGTACTAACCACAGCAAAAGTGGTAAAGAACATCCAAAAAAAGCTCCAAAAGCTTAAAATAATTTAGACTCAAATATTTTCAGAGAAACCCATCTACACCCAGGGCCACAAGATCCAGTTTGAAAAGCAAAAGTTTTTCAGGGTGCAGTGCCACTGCCTCCCCTACAACACAGAAAAACTTGCTGTCCTTGAAGGCTTCGTCCTCATCCTCTCCCGCAGCCCCTGTTCCCGCTCCGTACCGACCGATCGCACATTGCAGCCTTTTCTACTCTGTTAGGCTGGTTCACAAACACAGCAGAAAAATCACTTTTTTCCTAGTCGGGCTTGTTTCTCTAACAGCTTAGCAAGCTGGGCAGGTTTGCTGCCGCGAGATCGGCTCAGTCCTGTTCACGTACTGCTTCTCGGTCATGCAAAATGCTGTTTTTCATTATGCAACAGGTAAACTAACAGTAGCTACACCCATGTCCATGCTTCCCCTACTTCATCAGCTGTCTTCCAACAGGGAACAAGAAGCAAAAATCCTCGACTACCAGACTCAGCAAGAGAAATTGCTGCCCCAGTTGGCAGCAGCTTATGCCTTTCATTTCATCAACGACTACCTGCAGGAGCTATTTGAGAAGGGGTACAGAGAGGTCCAGAGGAAGAACTTCGACACGCTGCCAGAGGTGAGCTGCAGCAGGATTCGCTCATACAGCCGGTTCGCACTTCGGCTGCACTTCTCATCTCTGAATATCAAAGTATTTTAGCAAACTGGACAAGCATTCCTCTCGCTGCTAGATAACTGGAGAAAGAGGAAGCACTAAGAGATCAAATGGCTTGTCCTAGGTCCACAACCAGTCAGCAACAGCATTAGCTTGACCACCCCAAATTTTTGGCTTTGGGAACTATGGCAGAGTGAAAAGTCCTTGAAAAGCACGTCCATTTGATAAAAACCTCGTTCTAAGTAGCTGGTGGCGCAAAGCGTTATTTCACAACTCCATCTACAAATACACATGTAAATACTCACTTCTAAGCCAAAATCAAAAATGTGACTTTTTAGACAGAACATAAGATTTTGCAACTGGAAGCCTGAAATGAAAACACGCTCTGAACAAGGGCTGCCAAAGCCACTGCTGCTTGAGAAACCCAAAAATGCACAAATTGACCACGGCGTGCCCAGCACGAGGGTGCGCAGCATCCCAGGCAGAAACCGAAGGCCGGGTTCAGGGAGCTGGGTGCTACACCAGCATGCAAAGGAGGATCTGACAGGGATTTCATGCCCAGAAATTGCACAAAATTAAAAAAGGAAACTTATTCTGAGGATTGCTTTACAACACTTTCACCATTAACACTCTACCTTGTTTTTCTCTTTTTTTTTTTTTTTTTTTTTTTTTAAAAACAGCTCCATGCATTTTCTTCTGGCTTTAAAGCCATGGTTACTCAGTACTGCACCTCAGCAGTGGAGATCTGCCTCCGGGCATGCGGGGGACACGGTTACTCCTTGCTGAGCGGACTCCCTTCCTTGTATACTAAAATACTTGCCTCTTGTATTTATGAAGGGGAAAACACCATTTTGCTCCTGCAAGCTGCCAGGTAACAATTCAAATTTGTTCATCTAAAAGCCTGCCCCCTCATTTATTCAACCTCTACCACTTCTTCTCCAAAACCAGTAAAACCAGCTACTCCTTTCTCACAGCACCTTCTAAAAATACAACTCAGGACATAAACTATTCATGTCTTCTGTCTAACAGGCATGGAGGTGTGTGGGAATGGGATTCGCTCTTCTATTTTTGGTTTGGGGATGTATGCAGGTGCTGTTCTGCATAACCTCATTTTCCTCTTTGTCTAGTAGCGCAGCAAAAGCATTGCCATACAGGTTTTGCAGTTTATTTTTTTAAGCAGCCGATGTAATGCAATATTGGTAAAGTGAGGTTGATTCAGAGAAGGCAAAGTTGTTGAATACTGAAAGCGGATGAGTCATGCTCCAGGAACACCACTTTCCTCCGAACACGCAGACTGATGATTATCCAGAGCAGATGAAATACAGGAGAAAGAAACCACAGCTGCTTGAACTTTTAATAACGTGTTTTTACTAGAAGGAGAAAACCAGTACACTTCCCAGGGACAGAGGTGCTACCACGTAGCTCTGTGATTGCATGCAGACACCGCTGCACTCATTACTGCTGCTTCTTGCAAGATCAATCGCAAGGTCAACAGAAATGCCGTAACCTTTTACTTCCAGACCTGGTCATAGCAAAGGTGCCAAAAAGCCAAGGGAGTAGGGAATGCTCCTTGGACACATGTTTAGCTCCAAGAAAGGGTCTCATGTTTGTTAACATAACGTGACTGTGTGTTAGGGATCACGGAGGGTAAGACCAAACCACCATTGAGACTCCCAGAGCATTAAGGCTCAGGCTGCAAAGCTGATAATGTATCTAATCACCGTGCTGCTGAGACTGCTAATAGCCACAGCAAGTTTCTTCCTAAAAATTCATCACTACAGATTGCTGTACCATTAGATACAGTAGATGGGCTACCCCTGAGACCCATCACAGATCAGGGTATTGCGAGTAACATGCAAAACAAAAGGTCATTACTTGTTCAAGTCCGTTTCGGACCGCTGATGGGATGGGTGAGACCTTGCTGCTCCGAGCCCACTTTACTTTTTGAATGATCATTTGCTGCGTGGGGATGAGAACCATAGCCTGCTCTGACTGTTACCCTCTTCCCAGGTTCCTGAATAAGTGCTTCATGGCAGCCAGCGCTGGCCAGCCTGTTCCACCGTCTGTCACTTACCTGGCTGCAGTGAAACACGGGAAGTGTCCAGCCAAGACCAAGGTGGATTTTCTCAGTCCAGATATTTACACTGAGGCCTATCAACACATGGCAGTCAGGTCAGTACGGAGGACGGGAGGCAGGGTTTGTCTCTTTGACATCAGAAATGTGTTAAGAGCTCAGCTTCTTCCTTGCTTTAAAGGGAGGTAAAATAACATAAGTTACACAAGAATTGACACCATCTGCTCCCAAGAGAGAAGACTCACGCAGGATTAACAGCCACGTCAAATGTTCAACATGAAGCTCTCGCATTCAGAACATCAGAAGTTTTTAAGCCACGTGCTACCTAACAACGATATTCCACAGAGTTGATTCAACACCGAGCTGATGGCACTATTTAAGTAAATCCCAGACCACTTCACTGAGTTGCCATCCAGTAAAACCTTTAGGCAACCGGACCCTCTGCAATCCCATACAGAAAGTTAAAATTTCACATACTTGTGAAACGGATGTTTGTTTTCAGTTAGCACCCCAGCAAACACAGAGCCTCTCATTCTGTCTGTAGCCTTTCAGCTACACATTCAGCTACTCAACACAAATAAAAATGGTATCATGAGTGGCCTCATGAGTATTACGTGCACGTTATGGTTCATATGGGCATCCTCTCCGAAAAGCAGGTAAACAGACAGACAACTCTGCCATCATTCAAATCAGTGTAAAAACAGAGCCATTCTTCCGAAAGCTTCGGTGTCAATGGGAGCAGGATTTGGATCCCTGTGTAGAAAAGCAGAAACGTAATGTAACATCAGTCCAATATTATCACCACTTTATTTTGTTTTGCAAACTCTCCTTACACACATATAACCCAAGAACAACTCAGCAGACCCCCTGGTAAACTACCCTGGAAGCTGGGAAGGCAGAAATCCTTCAGCACCAGGGTGGTCTGGGTGCTTCTCCCAAGTTGTACTTAGATTTTGCATAATCTGAGTTCACTCATACTGAGCGTAGATAACTTCAAATGTCAGAAATGCCATTTTGCCATACGATCACACGCGAGTCTGAGTATGAAATGAGTGCATGTGGGCTGCTATATTCATCTACAATATGCTTTTTCAATTTTCCAGACTCGTAAGCAGCACAGCAGCTAAACTACAGGACTTGATTCAGTCTGGAGTCAAAAAGCACGACGCGTGGAACCAGTGCACAGTGCAGCTGGTGCAGGCTGCCAAGGTTAGTGAAATTTCTCTCCTTATTTGACGTTCGTCTTTATGATACAATATGCAACAGAAACAGCGTGATTAACTTAAAGTCTCAGCGCTGTTTGTTGTTTCTGTTAGCATCTACGGGGCACCACAAAGACCAGGGCACCACTGTGGTCTGCATGGTGGAAAAAATCGTAGTAAGAGGCAATTCCTGATCTGAAGAATTTGCCATCTGAATAGGCCAGGCAGAAAAAGACTAGCGGGAGTAGAAATGAAAGGAAGAAAAAAAAATTATATATATTCATGGTTATGCTGCCACTACTAGCAGAAGGAGACCTCCCATATCCTGCAACAAGAACCCACCATCTCCAGCTAACGCTCCTCTTTTTATAAGAAAGCTGGTGGAGTCACAGCAAGGGTGAAACACGCCTGGTATTTCTTACATCTACCGCTCTCACAAGGAAAGATAACTGCAGGGAAAACAATGAAAAGTGATAAGTGCAATGTTAATTACTACTGAAGGAAAAATCGAATCAAAGCCAAATTAATAAGAGATTCAAAACCAACTCCTAGTTCACAAGGATTAGGCAGGCAACCAGCATGCCTTCAGCTGAGGTAGGATCGGGACGGCAGCATTTGTTCCCCAAAACAGGGGTTGGTTAGTACAGAACTAAGCAGAAAAAGCAAGAGGGGAGAAAAGCCCTGAATTTAAATGAAAAACCAAAACCACTAATAGTTCAGTATCTCCAAAAAGAAAAATTCTTTTTTTTTAAATATGCAATTAAGTGCAATTTCTCTACAGTTATGGTGAAGGTCCTCCTTCCTTCCTTCCTTCCTAAGCTGAGGAAAGGCAGATTTTGAAACAGATCCACGGCTTATTTTAACTTCGTTCAATTTTTAATGAAAAACATCTTGCTGTAATCTACTGTTCAGCCAGAGCCGACCCAAACTGAAATGGACTTAGCAAGCAGCCCCTAACAGGGAAAAAGGAACCCTACACATACCTAACTGTGGCGATACCACCTTGGTGATTTCACAGTCGGGAACAGCCCCCGTGTAGTCAGTCAATTAGATGAAGTCCTCGAGCGTTGATCCGCTCATACCGGTAAGCACGGTTATAACCCTTCAAAACAAGAACTCAGTGAGTAAGGGAGCAAAGACCTGATCTCAGCAGCGGCGTTTTTTGCGGTCGCCTGCCTGCCGTGCGTCACCCCTCATTTTCGATTACACTGACTCAGTGGAAGCAGCGAGCGTACAATGCTGTAAGCTTGAAAAAGAGCAGAAACACTGTGCAACTGCCTCAAAAATAAAGGAGGCGTCCTATAAACAAAGTGACTTTTTAAAATTACTTTCCCAATAATTGTTTAAATGTAAATATATTTTCAGTGGAATGAAACTGAAGCAAAATGATCCTATTTGAGGTTACCTCTGGAAAAGGCTCTGAGCAGCGCTGCCCGCACACAAACCTGAACGAGCCGTTCCCTCCTGCACCCACTCAAACGGGTGGCCGAGGTCTCTGGACTGAAGAGCAGGGGAGACGACGTGTCAGAGGGGGAGCTGGAACCCAGCTGTCTCTGAGAAGCGAGGGGGAGAACCCAGACACGGGACTAATCAGAAATAAACTATTTCTGAAGAGCCTAACACGTGCAGAGGGCTGGCTGTGGTATTGTCAGTGTCAATTGTGCTGCTAGACTCTTCAGAAAATGGCATCTGGGCCCCCAAAGTTTCTTAAATACTTCAGGAAGAGGAAGAGTCACCCAAGACCCATGAGTTTCCCCCATAACTTTAAAACCTTGATAGCCTGCTGCCTTTTTGGGCCAATTCTGTATTTACTTCTTATTCCGCACCTTTCCTGGAGACTCACCCACACGACTGGCACGGCAGCTATACGAACTGACACCTGCCAGCTCTCAGCTGAGTGGCTCAGGCACCGAGCACGGCTTTGCTGCAGACTCCGCACAGGTTAATTGCTTGAGTAGACACCCAGCTCCTCAGGCAGGTTCTGCAGTCCACGCTGGCCTCCGCGCTGCTTGACCGTGCCGGCAAGAAGAGCTGCAGCGCAGGCGTGCCGTGCTTACACCCACGGCTGGGAGGAGACTTGTACAGCGGGGCAGCGAATCCACGCAGACACCAACACCACCAACCCCCCGCAGCGATGTCAGCGTAACAAGAGTCACCCCCACAAACAGGTGGAGTCACCCCGCTTCGTTTGCTCTGGACCTCAGCGAATATTTCTGTAACTTGGCAGTTAGACACTCTACTGGTGTCTGACCGCAAAATTATCAGTTTACTTAAAACCACAAAAGCGAGAGGCAAGTTTAGTTGTTCTTCTGGGACAACGGATGTTTTCAGAGATGAAGCCCTATAGACACTGAGCCCAACGTACCATGAGCCCACGGTCTTCAACAAAAGAGTCTTCTCCTGTTGATGTATAACCAAGATTCACTTGCTAGGGGTCAACACAAGCACATGCCAATGTGCTTCCATCACACAAACTCTTTGGGGTATTCGTCAGACATATTTAGAATAAGTACTACCATGATTTCTGAAGCGGTTTTCTAGAGTCTACAAATACCACAGTGCTGGCTGTTTACACCCCCAATTCTCTCCTCTGCTGTCGCTGTAAGACATGAACGCAAAAGGCCTGGTCAACCAGCAAACAAAGACGACAGACTGGAAAAGTGCCAGGGAAATGAAAAGGTTTTATATTCTTTGTGAGAACGTTTGAGTCACTTGGCCTACTAAACGTGTTTTGAGGTGCATTCAGTGTTGATTGCATTTGTTTTCCAGGCTCACTGCCACTACATCACAGTGAAAAACTTTGCAGAAACTGTGGAAAAACTCAAGACCGAGGCTGGCATCCAGAAGATTATGAAACATCTTTGTGACCTCTTTGCATTACACGGGATCTTCTCAAATGCAGGAGTCTTCTTGCATGACGGATACCTATCTGGAGCTCAAATGGACATGGTCACAGCATCATACCTGGACCTCCTGGCTGTCATTCGGTGAGCTGCTCTAGCATGAGAGGAGACACACATATTAGATATAAAATGGTGCTGCTGCACCTATGGCAACATCGCCAAAGCCAATTCACCTCATTCGGTTTTTATTTTCATTGCCTGGCAGCACTAGAAATTGATTGAAACATCTACACAGAGCTCGTTTTCACAGCAAAACAGACCTAAGCGTCCAGCGCCTCTGCAATCTCTAAAATAAAGTTCCATAACATGGAATCTTAAATTATAAATCGAGAAATCCTGAACACTTTCTACCATTTGCAGCAGAGCGAAAGCAGGAAAATACGTAGTCAGAGCAGCACTGGCAGGAGGCAGCCACAGCAACCGATCACACACGGCAAAATCTGCTTAAGCCGCAGCTAATACAGCCTACTCTGTTGCCATGGCTGAGTTGCAACCGGTACCCAAACCATCCTGCCTACAGCTCCTTCAGATGCATCTGCTCGACACCCTTTATTACTAACTACGTGAATTCTGAGATATGGCAAGGTTTTAACTTATCACAACACTCACAAAGGCTTTTTGACAGAGGGTTCAGCTTTCACTACTCAGTGCTGTTGGTTAAGAACAGGTTAACTTACGGTGCAGAGAAGCGAGTTGCTACTCTATATAAAATTCTACTTAAGCCACCTGGAGAGAAATGAGAACACACCATAACCAAGAGCTGAACAGGACTGAGCCAAACAGCAAGCATTTTCAGAACTGATCGCATAATTCAAGTTAAGCGATAAACTTAATTTAACGTTTTCAAAAGCCTAACACATTGTCGTCTCTGGAATTCACTGCAACTTGTCTATGTTAGGCCATGCCTTGTTAACAGGAGTCAAGAATGGAGTGGGTATTTACCTGGGTAATTAAGTTATTTAGAATTAGAAGGATACAAACACTTCCCGGTCTGTAGGAAAAACCCAGCCTTTCCCAAACCCTTCCCCAAAAGGAACTGGTAGATGCAAATGCCAACATTTGAGCAAATCGCTTTGCATCCCTGTACCTCAGGTGTGGGGTACAGCCAGCCCGACTTCCTACACCCAGGACGATGGGAGGACAAGGAAGAAGAAACCGTCTCCTGCTTAGGGGAAGATGCTGTCATTACATACTTGTCCTTACGCTCTAGCTATCTGTTGCTGACCGCTGTCAGATTGGCCCCTGGGCTAGATGGGTCCTTGGTGCGGTTCAGGGTTGCTTTGTCCTTACAGACACAAAGGGAGCAGAAGACCTTGACACCCCATGGCGAGGTAACAGAAACACTTAAGCGTAGACCGGAGATCAGCAAAGCACTTCACATCAATCTAGTAGCAACCTTATTCCATTTTGTAAGACAAAACACATACAGCATAAGAAAACCAAACCAAACCAAACAAACCAACAAAAACCAAAAGCAAGAACTAGCAGAGGCTGCTGAGAAAACATCTGACATGAGATTGAGTCCTAAATTAGGGAGTTCGGAACGGACCCCAGGTGATTACAAGACCCTGCAAATAATACCCATTCAGCCGGACAGACAACACGGGGGGTTAGCAGAACATGCCTCTGAGGAATCAAAACACACAGGATTTTCTCCACAGCGTAGGCAAGGGGAAAAACCGGCACAAGCTTTTTAGGCTGTGGAACCTGGACAACCGACTTTCAAGTTTACCTTTGGCTTATTTTCCTCCCTTACAAAGCAATACCTGCTTCGGTAATATAATGTCATTCATCTGCTCCTTAGGAAGGATGCTGTTCCGCTAGTGGATGCTTTTGACTTCACAGATAAGAACCTGAATTCTGCGCTTGGCAGTTACGACGGACAGGTTTACCAACGGCTTTACGAGTGGGCTCAGAAGTCACCCACCAACATGCAGGTATGGATGCTGGACTACAGCCAGGCAACTTCTGCATTAGCCAGAGCAGAAACTGTTTGTTTTTCTTTTAATAGAAGCAATACAGATAAAAGTAAGTGGAACAAGAGCCTTTAATTCTCAGTATCTCGCTCTGAACCACGACCTGTGATACTCCAGTTATGCCACCCATAGTCTTCACTCAGGCATTTAACCTAACGATGAATTACAGCCCCCTGAGCTCTAGAGCTTGTACCCAAGAGCTGGACTGTTGTGTGCCACCAATCTGATTTTGGTTTTTACACTTGCATCGCTGAGGTAACACAGTACAAAATAAGCTAAACCAAAAGTCTGTTTACATAGTTCACATAACAACAACACTGGCTGCAAGAGCCACTAATTGCAGGATATTTTCCATTCGCTGGTGCTTTTACTAGTGCAATACTGAATTTTTTTTTTTTTAATAATATGTTTAACCAGAAAGTATAAATGTTAAACAAGGCAATCCTTCATGGTCTTTAGCACTTTACTTTCACTTCTTAATTCATCCATATTGTGGAGTAATGTAAAATTCTGCAGGATGCAAACAGCTATTACTCTGTTTGAAAACTCATTTTGCCTTAAGTGAGATTTTTACCGTGGTAATCAGCAACCCTTTGAAATTCTACAGCCGAACACAAAATTTGCCTTCAGCAAACATTCAAGTTCAAGCATATTTTTTGAAGTGAAATAGTATGCTGTTCCGTTTGGGATGACTATTGTGCACTGGTTATGAAGGACAGCACATACGAGAGGGAAAGAAATCTTGCATAGCTGAAGTAGTTGGCTGTTTGGTTTTTTTTTTTTTAAATAGTCTAGCTTTCTATACTTCAGAGGTCATTCTTAAGAAAAAAAATTATAGCCTTTTCCTTCTTAATTACCATTAATTCCCTTCCACATTCTCTTTCTGAACAGGTGAGCCCAGCCTATGAGAGGTATTTGAAGCCACTTCTTCACAACACGCGATCAAAAATATGAAGACCACGTTGATCCAAGTGAAGGCCACCCATTTCCTCCTGCTCTTCGTGCAGCAGCACACTTACGAAGCATCAGCAATGACTAATCAGAATTAATAAGCAGTTGCTTACTCGCAGTTGCAACAAGTACGAAACACGATTCTTAGCCAGCCATTTGCATTTAATCAGACAGAAGCCAAATGATGCTGAGTGGTACCCCCTGCTATGAGGCAATCTAGTCAGAAACAGCCTGGGGTCTGCTGTTTTCTCACGTGAAGTGTCCTGATAGCATCAAAACTATGCCACTTGGCTTTCTTATTCTTTTTCTAAATCCACTATATGACAATTAAGCAAAAAAGAAAAACCACATTATGAGCTCCCCCTCAGTGTGTTATGACTGTACAGTGCCTTAAAAAAAAAAAAAAAACAAACCCAAAAAACACACACAAAAAACTCCAGCACTTTACTGAAAAACCCAAGGAAGGTAAAATTATGGTCTAGGAACAACTTGCTCTCATAGATCAAAAAGTATATTAGAGAGTAAATCTGTTTGAACAATTAAAATAGCTCTTAACTTGCTCAGCAGTGGAGTATTGCTGGCTAATGAAGAGTCAGACCAAGCTGATGCTAACTCCAGTCTGCAGAATTTACTTTCCCATTAATAGAGCTGCTCATACTGTCTTTCTATAAATCTTGGGCTCCAATAAAGTGTATTATTTGGAATACTGCTTCTCTAATTATTATACTTCATAATTATGGAAAGGGCAGGCTGATCCAGGCCAGTCATTAATTTGCTAGTAAATTAAGCATTGCAAAGAACATCTTGTGATTATAATTCAATGCCAGTTAACACAGATATTTCTTACCACGTGTTGCAGGAAGGAAACAACCACTTTTCCTGAGCTTCATCAGTTCAGCTTTTCTTCCTCCCCTTATAGGAAGGATAAAGCTCTTATTGCCGCTTATTACAAAAGTCAAAGCCCCTACAATGTGTGAAGAGGGGGAGAAAAAAATATGACAAATACACCCTTGAGACAGGCTTTCTGAGCAAGAGATGGGATGGAAAGCTCCCGCCTTCAAGAACCAGCAGCTACCACAGAAATCCAGACCCCCTCTTACATCCCCAAAGAGCTGTGGTCCGCACAGCCCAGAGAGCAAAGCAGTTGTGGGAACGCACGCTTGGGACAAGAACTTCATGGGAGAACGTGAGCCATTCATCAAAACGGGCATCAACTCTCTTACTCCCAACGGCATTCGAGTTAGAGCATAACCAGAAATTCTGTTAAGAACTACGACAAAGTGCCCAAGATAACCACAAATGGCTAATCAAAACTGAGTAAAACCACAAAACTTGAGTGCCTTGACTTGAACATCATCAGAAACAGCAGTCTACAGTTAAAATTATAGATAAAGTCACTAGATAAATCGCTGACAAACCAGACAATGCCACTTAGCAGCTACAAGGATTTAGGCTCTGTGTTCCCTCCATCCCTGTCCCTTTAGCCAGTACAAATACTTGCCATCCTTTTGTTAGGCATCATGCAGTTTTTCAAACACAAGCTTTTTCCATAATGAGGACAGATGAATCAACTGATTAAGACAAAAAAGGAACAAAGTACATCAGTAACGGAGAAGAACGGAACCCTACCAGAGCATCTGAACTACTCTGCAGAACGGAAAAACGGGTTTGGGGTGGTTTTTTTTGTTTGGTTGGTTTTGGTTTTTTAAGTATTAGAGTTCTAGAAGACAAGAAAAGTACAAACTAGTATTCTGTATTTCACATTTTTATTAGCTTCTTGCTGGCAGGCATTACACTTGGGAATAATATTGCACCAGGCATTAAAAATATGAATTCCACCACAGGGACACTTTGCATTTAGAATCCAATATAAATATTTCTAATTGTATTTCCATGGCTACAGATAATATTTGGTTGCTTGACTTATATGCATAGAAAGAAACAGTTGTCATAACTGTAAGAAACTGTACTTATCAAGTACTTTTAAAGGGTGGGATTTGTTTTCTTAGAATATTACAATACTGCTTATTGATTTAGAAACTAAATTAGTCTACATGATAGCAGCTTTTCCCCAACTGCATCTTAAATTCTGTTGTTTCTTGCTCCCAGTATCGTAGCATTAGATGGATTAGAAATCATTTAAACGGAGGTAATTTTAGCACTTTAAGTTGCGTCAGAGAATTGTGTTAATGACACAAAATACCCTATTGTACTAATTCTTCGGACTCCCTCTTTCAAACAAAAAGGTGTCTTGACTGAACAGGCACATGCATGTTTTTTCTGAACAGGACAAAAGGACAGAGCTGCTAGAGAACGAAACTCCTCCAGTCCTTACTGACAAACAATAAATAGTCGTATAAAAAAAAAAAAGCCCACATTGTCGCTTTAGTCAAAATCCAGACTCTCTCGGCTTTACTGTCCAATTAAGTCGCTAATCGCTGAAGTGGCTCCTGTGGAGTCAGAATCAGTCATCTGTTTTCCGTGCCAGTCTACAGAAAGTCCAGTTATGCTCCACTGTGTTTTCATTGGCACGCTCGCTCATATGATGAACTCTGGTATTCCTGATCGTGAAGCCTTGCTTTGTGATGTACTCCATCAGATGGACTCTGAGCGACACTTCCTGGTGGTAATCGCATGGCCCAAAAGTGAAGGAAACCTGGCAGTCCCTGGTGTCCATCATGTGCTTATTCCACTTTGTGAAGTGGTTTGAAATGCCTTCCAGTAATGAATGGACTTTCGTCGTGATGGTGAGCTGGGTGATGATTACAGCCACCGGGTTGGAGTACTTGGAAAGCTTCCGGGTGCTGGACAGCTCCACCACCTCCTCAAAGGTATCCACGGGATACAGCGGCTTGGGGTCATTAAGACACTGAATTAGCGGTTCAATCTGATAGAAGTCCGCTTCCTTCCGAAGTAGGTCGAACTCCTTGAAGTCCAGTGGCAATGTGAGCTCTGAGGTCCTTAAAAAGTTAAGAACATAACGGAAAAGTGGTCCATCTCTGTCAATAAAGTAATTGCCCTGAGAGTCCCTGGCAGTGGGGAAGTCTCCCCTGAACATGGCCCCAAGCATTGAGTCGGGATATCTCGTTAGAGTTGTGAGGGATGTCGTATACATGTGTCCACCCACATTTAGCGTGACTGGATCAGTCATCTAGAAAGAGAGAAATTGCAGAGTTTATCAAGCCACCACAAGATTCAGTCACCTCACTGACACACATGGCAAATACTGTTTGAAAACTGCAGGCTCTGGAGAGAATGACGCTTCTCCCATTCGAAGCCTTTAAGTGGTGTTTAAACCCGAACAAATCCAAGCCACCTAGCAACAAAGGCACCACTGGCAACCAGACAGGATGATATTTAACATTCAGAACGCGCATTTCCAGAATGCTTTAGAAACCTTAACAACTGAGCTACTGAGACAGAAGTAAGTTTTGCATTTGGGCAACAAGTTTTTTTTCCTGTTCTACAGATGGGGAAATGAGAACAGAGAGATTTCCTGAAGAACAAGTTAGTCTGAATGAGGCCGATCAGTGCTCCTTACTTTCACAATCTGTTTCTCATTCTAGAACAAAACAAAAGAAAAAAAAAAGGAAAAAAAAAATCAGCTGAACAAGTCTTAAGCCTCTCTCTCTCTCCCTGAAAAGAGGATGACAGTGCAAGTTTAGACACAGGACCAAGAGCTCGCAATCAAAATAATCCATGCACTGGTTAAGAGGCATTGTTAAAACAAGCAAACAAAAAAGAACTTTCAGCTTTTAACTCTAAAAAGAAATATTTATTAGGAAATCAGCATGCGGCACAGAAGAAGGGGGCAGAGCACAAACCAGTCTGCATCAGCTTCCAGATAGCACATGAGGAAGCAAGAGAGAAAGGAACATAAATCCCATCTGGCCACCAACCCTAACAACCAGGACTGAGGCCAGCCAGAGAAAAGAGACATATGCATGGCAGCAGAATGCTTAGAGAAAGAGAAGAGGAGAAAAATAAGATGTGTTTGTCTAGTTGGAAACAGGGTTTACATGGAAAAATATTTTTCTTTATAAATAAAATGACCAAGTCCTTAAAATTATATGCGGGAAGCACAAACTACTTTCAGCCTTTGTGTGTTAGGAAAACGGCAGCAGTGAGCTTAAGGTGTCAGTTAAGTACTCACTGATTGTACTGAGGAAATACGAACCTGAGTGCTCCCCACAAATAGCATGCGAGGTGAAGCACTCCAGAGAATGCAAGTAAGCTGTCGTAACATGCACGGCTTTTCTGCTCACGTGACTGAAGCTCTGGATCTACACAAGACAGATCTGGAAGGATTCTTACCACAGGATCTTGAAAGCCCCGTTGTACCGCACAGCGCACACTTACGCAGGCTCACTTACCATATATCCCCAGTCTCCATTATCCATCTGTTCAGTTGCTTGAACTGTGGTATTCCAAGTTTAACAGAAGGCTGCCAAAAGGATACGCAATTCACCTCTTATTATCTCCCTGCAGGAAAAAGCACACACAAAAAGACAAAACAAAGAACAAAACATGGCAGACCATCAGTACCTACAAGAACAACCAAGGGGAATGCTTTCTAATCAAAGGCAGGCTCTCTGCCAGGAGAGCATTCAGCTACAAAGCCACATTAGCAGGAGAAGCTACAAACAAGCTTTTCCCTCCTTCTCCCTTCACGCTACCCACAGGACTGCCTCCAGAGCACATGGGTAATCGTTCCACCAGCTGTCTGACCATCCCAGTTTTGTTAAATAACAAGCAATGTGCCTCTGAGGATAATGTACAATCACAAACGGACTACCTTCCACCTGGGAAACTGTGAGTGCTTTGAAAGACAGATGTCCTTTTCCCAATTAAAAAAAGGTTTATTTAGCCACCGTTGAGGTCATACATATGATCCGTTAATATTAGTCAAAATTCCCATGCTCCAGTTTCAAACTGCGCAGAAGAATAAATCAAGCATGAAAGTCAATGAACAGTAAGAAGAAAAAAAAAAAAAAAAACTCACT